TTTCTTTAGGTGGTTGTCACATCGAGTAGCATGTCCTGCCTTGTCCGACTATGGCGGGAGCTTGACGAAGGGCAGTCGAGATGTCCACGCTACAACATAACGGATTAGTCATAATCAACCACAGTGCTCTACTGCGCTCGAACTGACATTGGCAGCCATCGGTGCTCCGTTTCTTTAGGTGGTTGTCACATCGAGTAGCCTGTCCTGCCGTGCCCGACTATGGTGGGAGCTTGACGAAGGGGAGTCGAGATGCCCCAACCCTAACCACTTTGCTCCTGATAAAAGAAAGCCGGAATCAACACCATCATCAAAACCGGGTTCATCACCAGGCGGTGCAAATGCGAGAGCATAGAGGATAAACCGGGCGGCTGTTGCAGGTAAATGACGAGGTACACCGGCACTAAAATCACCAGGCCAAAGACCATCACCGCAAAGGAAAAGCGCAAATACTTTCGTTTGAAAAACAAGCCATATAAAATGGCGATGGCAAACAGGTCGTTGAGTAGGTAGCGCAAAACTTTATTGAATATAAAGGGCAGGGCTTCCACATTTTGGTAGTCGGGAGTATGTGCCATTTCTCGCGGGGCCTGCCATCGGATAAGCACGCTGTAGAAGTCCAGGTGATTTTGCAAGAGGTACAGGCTGGCCAGGCCCATCAGCCCCAAGCCTAGCAAGGCCAGCCTTAGTCCCGGTCGGCTCGTTTCATTCCAAAACTTTTTTTGAAATAGCTTATTCACCAGATTTAAAAATCATAATACCGATTAAACAACTCCGTGCGAATGCCGGCAAACAGCCAGGTGGTATTGCTTTGCACAAAGGGCGAAGTATTGGCCGATGAATGGCCATTCACCACCTCCAGGCTCCGGTAGCGCAGGCCCAGTTCTACCTTCAAATTACTTTGCGAATTGGCCAGCCAGGCGCAACGCATTTGGGCATAGAAAAAGTCAGACCGCTGGCCCTGACCAATAAAATTGCCCGCGTCTCTTTCGCGCGAAGCGTAGGGCAGGTAAATATCGCCTCCCCAGTTTGACTGTGAGGCATCCAGCCCTCTGCGGCCATAGGTGAATTGGACATCGTATTCCCAACGCTTTTGCTGATAAATACACTGCAGCAAAAGCTCGTGAAAATTAGATTCCCAGGGATGCGCCAGGGCCGTTCCGTAGTGGGCGTAATTGGTCAGCACCTCCCGGTGGGTATAGGTATAGGGCCGAGCGGCATTGTATTCCAACCGCGTAAACAAACCCTCCAGCCCAAAGCTGTTGTACTGTTTTATGCCCAATTGCCAGGCGAATTTATTCACCCAACTGCCCTGTGCGGCCGTGATGTCTTCTATGCTAAATTCATCCAGCACAAACTGGCCATAGACTTGAGTGTAGTTCCGCAGTTTATAGGAAAGGTTCAAGCCCATTATGGCGTTGCCCCGACCCGAGCCCACCGCAAATTCTACCGGGCGATAAAAGATGACGGGGTTGAAAAAGGCCACGTCTATTCCGCGCTCCTGGGCCGAGTCGCCCAAAACAATGGCTTCAAAGAAAGAGAGGTTTAAACGTGAATTTAAATTGATGCTGAGATAGTGGGCCGATAAATATTTTTTTGCGTAAACCACATCGCCATGGCGCCTGCTCACGCTGGGGCGGATATCGTTCATTTCGGCCCAGAGGTTTACGTATTTCACCTTCCAGAAGCTGGTTTCAATCCTGAAAAAGGGGTAGCTAAAGGCCGNNCGTCAGACAGCAGCATGGAACGGTAGCCCTCCCCGAAAAAGTTTCGGCCCTGCCCCAGGGTGAAGGTAAAAAAGCGGTTGGGGTTATAGCTTATTTCGGCTGCAGCCATGCCGTAGTCAACCCCCCCATCGCCAAAGCTTCTAATTTTTGAGCCCTGCCCCGGCACTACGCCCCGTTTGGCGGTATAGGCACTAAAATAGTCGGCAAATCGCCCCTGGTTTTCCAGAAAGGTGGTGTAAAAAGTAAACTGCGAGCCAATTCGGCCCTCCACCAAAAATCCGCGGGTGTTGATATAGCGATAATCTTCTACGCCCTTCTCGGCTCCCAGTTGGAAGTTCACCACCGGATTGAAAGTCAGCGCAAAAGAAGGCTTTTCAAAATGCACCAAGTCTTCGTAAAACAGTTTGCGCTTGAGCCACCCGGCTTCCGGGGCTTGCTGCCGAAAGAATGTTCGCTCCACCACACTATCAAGCCCCGGCCGACTGAAGGGGCGCACCGAAGTGTGAAAGTCTATATCCGTACGATACAATTCCCCATCCACTCGTGCCGATTGAAAATGATTTAAATGCCTAAACTGATACTGACCACTCAGCTCCGTCTGGACTGTTATAGCCGCACCTAACACTACCACCACTCTAAGAACAGTGGACCTTATTCTAATTACTCCCTTCAAACGCTCAAGATTAGATGGCTAAGATATTTTAATTATGGCTTTTACAAAGCAGGACTTTTAGTGGTTTTGAGCGGAGCTCGCGGAGCAGAATCAGTGCGATGCGCGAAAGTAAATGAAGCGCGATGCAAATAGCCCCATCGGGGCGTCCCATTGGTAGAGAATAAAACGAGAGTGAAATTCGAACCCCGAAGGGGTGACCCCAAGTCACGCATTATTAATATTGGTACATCTTCCTAAATTAGAAACAAGTGAGCCAGGCGATTGTCTCCCGCAGACGAGCCTGCACTGCTGCGTCCGACCTTTGCCGT